GAGAATATTTCATTTTATAAATGTTTTGTTTTGATATACAAGTAGTTCGGGTTTTTTCATCTAAAAAAGCGACATCAATTTCTTGACGACCTAATACTTTGTTGGTTGTAAGCTTACCATGCGTTTTCTACCCCTCAGTTAAAGTATAAATTTTAAAAATTTAAGCATTATTTGACTTTTGTTCTTACTATAAAAAAATCAGTTAAGGTAATCTAATTTTCTCTCGCCCTAGCTACTCACGGAACTGAGTCAGTAAACCACGGCATAATATCGTTCCCTATCCTGTGGCTCCTACCCATTTATTCTAAGGACAATTAGTGAATCTAAGAATACTAAAACTTCATATGTTAGCAGTATAGGGAGGTGTTTCAGCATCATCTCAATGGCTTTTGGGGAAGATGGGTCTGTTTTATAACCATAGCCTTCACCTGTACGAGTGCGTTGCTTTAGGTTAAGTTGTGTGTGTTTTGGAGGCTAATGCTGCCCTAAATGCTCTGTTGTGCAAGTTGTTCTGTTTCCATGGGCAACAATGAAAACTTTTGTTTTTCAAATGTTGTCTTTTGTTTTTAAGTTATCGAATAATCTTGTCATATGAATATTTGTCTTCAGGGAGGCGTTTTATATTCCTCCAATTATAATTCTATCTGCGGCGGTGGTGCGTTTTCGAATAGTTTGAAATTCACATATCGTTTAACATTCTGCCTGTGGCCTCATGGCTTTTATGCAACACAGTTCTCTTCATTACAGTTTTTACCGATCGTTCATGCTAAGTACAACTAGCTGTCCTGCATATTATATATAAAAAACAGTTATACGCATTCCCTTCCAAAATACAATATCATTGCTGTTTGAGAATTTAAAAAACCGCTACATTGAAATACTCTAAATGCTGCAATTGAAGAGTTTTTATTGCCAGTTCATTCTTTACTTTTAGATGTCCAGTGAACAGGTAGAAGACCAAGTAGCCGGTGTGAATTGCACTGTATATTCAGTCATATTTAGATACAGCAAATCTTTCCTAAACAAAAACTCCACAACTCTTGCTATAATTTTTCTAATGATATATGTATTTTTTTAGAACAACATATAAAGTATTTAGAGCACACATTCACAATCCCTAAATTTGTATTGTAACACATAACCTAACCTTCTTATGCTATTGTATAG